TATAAGGGCCTTAATGATTTGAATAGGGTCTTGCGGTATATTATGCTGCAACTATAATAAGGAACCCCCAAAACCTCCTGTATTACCAGGGAAGTGGCCCACTGTCCATCAGTGAACTCCAGGTTGCGATGGACGCCAGCCTTGTATGTCTCAGGCGGGCGTGGAATGAAAGCCGTTTGGTGCACACGAGTTCTAACGCATCGGCCAGCGCGCACGACCCATACCGGAACTAACATCTTCAAAAAAGTACGTAAGCATACACACAAGTAGGATTTTCGGCAACCAAACAATATGTCCAGAGCTCCCACGCCAGACGGGCCTTTGTGGGCTACGGCTAACTGTAAGTGCTCAGGGCGAGCTGGGCTCAAACGAAGTCCGCCTCTGATCTAAACATCACAACAGCCTAGCTCTAGACCGAGAAAGCAGTGTCCTTCATGCCTGGTCCAGTGTTGGGCCAAGAGCTGTCATGATGCCTAACTTATTGGGGTACTTTTGTAGTACCGGGACCCCCTGAGCAGCAAGAAGAAGGCGGAGGCCCAGCTCCTCCCGAGCCACGGACAATCTGAATGCCACTCTGTTCCAGGGGCCTGGCAGTGCATGGAGATCCGTAGTGTTTAGGGTTTAGGGGCCAGGCAGAAGATTCCAGAATTGTGCAACCAAATTTCTGGCTCCCACAGATTGCCGCTCTGCTGGCAAGTGCCTAAACGAGGCTTCCAGAACCACTGTCGAACACCAATCGAGCCTACACTGCTAGCCGGTTCACCGCACAATGGCACAGAGCCCGAAGACTTACAGCAGCAGTTGTCAACTGCAGCTGGGCAGACTCACCCAATGGCACCACCTGGCTGAGCAGTCATGTTCGGTTGGGAGGGTGGAAGTCTGTCAGGATTCGAATGGTTTGTTCCATAAAACAACATGGGATAAGTTTAAAAACATAAGATCAACCCGAACATGTTGATATACGATAATAGAATGTAATGTCAGGCCACATGAGATTCGTTAACATCACACAAGGTCAGATGATATAAGATAGGGACAGATAGCATCAGATAAGATAAAAAGAGATGAGAAGAAGGGAGATTAGATAAGGTAAAACGAGATCATATAAGATAAATGAGATAAACCAAGGCAAGATAAAAGATAAACCAAAGATAAGACAACATAAGTAGATATTATCATATTAGCTTAAGATAAGACCAAACAACCATATAGTATTATAAATCTAACATAAGGTAGTACCCCGGCCGAACCGAATTTTTGCCCGAACTCCCCAAGTCTGTGGATTCCGCGAAGGCACCGGCCTTGCCAGTGGAGAGGATCCAGGCAAATCCGTAGACCTTCAAAGGCAAGGGTTTTTGCTGTTAGGGGTTTAGGGTTGATGGTTGTTTCTTGACAAGATGGTTAAGGGCTTAGGATGAATATCCCCAGAAGATGCTGAAATATTGGAAACCCAAAACCTTACATCTTTCACCTTCAAGCTGTGGGGACGTAGTAGACGTTGGACCGCTGCTGGCCGACATAGACCAGCAGGGCTGTTCTGATGCCCCTTCCTGGCTAGGAACCCTCCCAGTTTAGGGTTTCGGGTTAAGGGTTTCATGATCCTCCCAAGCCCTAACCCTAAACCCTACTCTTGTTTCTAAGTCATCTGCTACCAGCTACCAGGGAGAAAGCTGTGCTTGAGCCCTCTCTTCAGAGGCCACCACCAGACCAAGGAGGGCGACCACCTTGGGAGCACACGGAGTTTTCTGAAACGTCGGGGCACCCTCAAAAGCAGGATGCTACCAGTTCAGGCTGAGACCAGTTCAGATCTATGCAGGTTGAGGTCCTAGACCAGCTGACTCCCACATGAGACCAAACGGCAAAAGCTCTGAAAATGACTCCTGCTATCTCCTGATTGAACTGCAGCAGCTAAGGTGTCAGCGACGATTGCAGAGTGCAGAAGCGGCTGCATAAGCATGGAAGGGATTTCAGCTATGACCTGCCGTCGACGATGCTTTCCCGCGCTACTGGCATCACACTCTTACAGTTCCTAAAGCAAGCCTCACAGGTCGCGGTCACACTGTCGATGGTCACAGCCAATGACTCCCTGCAATCGACTGCAAAATGCCAGAGCCGCAGCGAGAGAGCAGCCCTCACTACACCAGTCCGCACCTTCCCTGGCAGCAGAGAAAAGCGAACAGCATCCAGAAGAGCACAGCCAGGGCCGCACAGGCCTGCGGGCTCCCACCACCAGTACTTCAACCGCAGAAGCTGCTGCCGTGACTCTGACCGCAAACGCTGAACGATACTGCGACGACGACGACAACAAACACCACGACCGCGGCGACCACCACCACCACCACCACCACCACGACACGACAACGACCACGACGGACTTGTGAAGCGTTGTGGGTCGCACATATCACAAGCAGCGGCAGCATATGCTAGCAACGGCGTTCTTGGATCCAACTGTAAGGCGCCAGCCCAAGCGCACATCCTGCACACACTGAATTTCACAGATCTCTGGCTCAGTCAATATCCGGCCTGGCGACAGGCGGAGAGAAATACGTGAAGAAAAAGTTATGCCTTGGCCATGAGAGCTGCCCATCGCTGGCTAGCACAGCCGTCAGGTGGGCGCGATGCCAGGAAGGAATCGAAAACCACGTTGGAAGCCCCCGGCGCTGGGTGGAAGCTGACGAAGAGAAACACCTCAGGCCGATTGTTGCTCAGGCAATCGACTTACACGGCTTCCATCTAAACTGCTGCTGAACGATATATCATGCTTGCCAGCAGAACCCATTACAGAAGTCTTGCGTGATCCGCACCGGGAGCGTCCTGGGTGCCTGGCCCCAGCAACTGCCAGGAGAGCAACGTGCACTGCTACCTGAGCCAGAGTACCGCGACTATGTCAGCTCCGTCTCCACACGAGCTTGCGCTACACTGCCGCAACACCTGCTGGGCGGCTGACAATCAGACCATAGACGAGCTTCTCGAAGGAGTGCCAAATTACAAAGAGAAAGACATAGCCGATGACCTGATTGAGCCATGGGATGCGACGGTTCTGGAACGCTCTTGAACCAGGTGAGCTTGTGGAGCTAATCTATCCTGGAACTCACCCTTGTGTTTCAAATCGCCAGGGCCTTCCAAACGTAGCGCAGGCTCCGGGCAGAGCAAGCGTCTACTCAACAAGTTAGAAAACGGCAGCAGCGCATGACGAGCGCGATAGAGATCACGCCGCAGGAGAACGCAACAGCACAGCAGCAGCGTTTGCTTTTGCTCTGCTGCTGCCGCTGCTGCTCGTCGTCCTCGTACTATGCTTTGGTACTGCAGTCTTTATATAATATATGGTATATAATATGTATCAATACCTTATATAATATAGTACAAACTATACATTATATAGTATCTTGCTACTCTGGCGGGCCTCCTCGGCGGGTACCCCATGCTGAGGCACTGGCTATGCAGGCAATCGCAACTAAAACCTTTGCGAGGCATCGAAGCGGCAAATGTTGGCCACGATTCGTATTTCAGAGGCCTCTGGAACAAACGTACACCCCTCTGAGCTGCAATGCCCCCAAGCACGAATCACATCCTAGGCCACGGCCAGAAACCGCCAGCTTTCTGCGGCTCCTTGACCTAAGCTTCGGCGCTCACACTCGGATGATCCAGGCGAGGCATGCGACGAGGAGGCTCTTGATGTGAAACTGCACATCGAGAGATCTTTTTGGTCCATGGCCGCGGCTTCCGACGAGGATGCGCGGCTCTGATCAGGACGGAGCCCGACGAGTGGGCTGATGCATCAAAAACGAATGTGCCACAGCGAGACGAAACCCGATTTCAACCAAGGCTCCAGAGTGTGAAGGGATGTGGAGATGTCCGGCATTGAGGGCACACGGTGAGTTTTACAACGCGGACTTCGACGAGGTCGAAGCACAGACTGTGCTTCTGTACGCTACAAAAGCACAGTCTGTGCTTTGATCTCAGCCACCAAACACAATGACACAGAGCTACATGCTAAGCAACTGCACGGCTTAATTACAACAAACATGGAGGCTGCCGTTAAAATGAAACTCAGTGCCCTCACTTGCACAAATCCTTCAGCTCGCCCGGCGCAGGGCAAGGCTGGAACTTCTCACCAGCACCGAAGGTGAACTCGCAGGCTTGCCAGCAACTCGGCCAAACACGACGCAGTCCAAGGTAGAAGGGCTCGGTAGGCACCTTAGAGCCGTCGATGATGTTGTGGAAGAACTTCTTGCCGCTGCCCGTCTTGTCGCTGGGCTCCTCCAAAGTCTTGCTGGACGGATACGCAGGGAACGGCTCACCATCGAGGTCCTTCTCCTGCGTCTTGGCCGCCTCGAAGTGCTTCTGGTGGGCATCCACAATCCTCTGCAGAGGGACGCCCATGTCCTTTGCTAAGTCCTCGCCCGAGGCGTAGAACTTCATGACGCCACGGCCGGTGTAGGCTTGGCATGCCAGATGATCTCATCGGCTGCAGCCTTGTTCAAACAAAGCCGGAAGGGTGGCTTGTTCTTCCACATCTCTCCAGTGGCATAGTCACGTCGGCCCAACTCGTTGCAGAAGCGGCCGCCGTAGGCGTCAGGGACGCTGCCACCGACTCCTCGGAGGGCCTCTGCAGCCAAGAGCTTCACCTTGCGTCTTGGTCCCAGCACCGTTGCTGCCACTCCCACAGCATGGTGCGGCCACCAAGCTCCACCACGGTGTTGGTGGCGGACATGCCTGCCAGGCCACCACCGACCACGATCACCTGATTAGCAGACTGCAGCCATGGCGTCGGAGTTGTGAAGAGAAGGAATCGGACAGTTTGATGCTGAGAGGGCTTGAGCCAAACTGGCTGCTTGACCTAAGCTTAGGGTTTCAAATTTCTGGCAGGATTTTAGGTTTCTTTGGGTTTGGGGCTAGGGTTATCCGGCTATCCTTTGGTCTTGCGACATTTAGGTGATGTGCTACACCCACTCGGCCCCGTCTTACGCATGTGCCTGAGGCTCGAACCAGCCAAGATAACTTGCCGGGTGAAACTGGAAACCTTGGAAGCTTTCCAGGCAGCCGCTAAGCAGAGATATAGGTTCGTAGATTTTGACACAATGCAACTTGCGCATCTTGTTCACACCACTTCGGACATAAAAGAGTTCGTTTGCAAACCCTGCGCCATGCACGCACCCCACCAGCACGGCATGCACTTTCTGCCTTGACCAGAGCTTGCTCCTGAGGTGCATTATGAAATTGGAAGAGCTGTCGGCGTGGTACGAGTTCCGCTCCTGTCGGTGCTTGGTTGCTCGGAAACCTCGCTCAAGGCTTTGGCACACACATTGCCAGGCCCCAAGGAGCTCTGTCACTCGCCAGCCGGTCATCCAGCCGACTGCTGAAGGGGTGCATCCTGCGTGCGCTTGATCGACTTCTGCTCGGAGTCGTACGATACATGCGGCTTGGTATGGCCCTCAGCGACGTCCTCAAGTCTCTGAAAAGACCGTTGGCTATCGCTGATCAGAGTTTTCGTGGCGCCGCATCAAAACATGCTGCAAATGCCAAGTGCACCACCATGCCTTGCAATTCCAATGCATGTACGGCAGGCAACGACTTGTGGCAGCCGAGACGCGTATGTGCGGTCCATGACGCTCTGCAGCAAAACCTTGGGACTGCGTGAAGTTGATGCAGCCCAGGTCAATTGGGCAAGGTATGTGTACATATATATATATATACTTATCTGAAAAACGTTTTATGTACTGTAGCTGCTTCTTGATTTTTATTTGTTTAGATATACTTGTATTTGTATTTGTATAACATTGTAAACATCATATAAGTATTGAATTATATAAATATATAATTTCAAAACTATAACTTGATAGTTATACACATATCTTTATATATTACTATACATATGTACATGCAAGTGGCAAGCAGCAATATACAAGTAGCAAGCAGCAAATGCAAAAGGTAAGCTCAGCCGTCAGCCAAATCCTCCTTTGGGAAGCAGTAGCCGAAGGCCTGCAACAGAGCAGCGATGTGCAGAATCGCTTCAACCGTTCTCGCTTCTGATGACGCTATCCAACCATCCTCTGCACTCGTGCAAACGCCATGCACAGAGCAAAAGCTCATGCGGACACAAGAACCTAAGATTTCCGTGGCTCAGATATTCCTCCTCGACATGTGAAATAGCACATCTCTTTTGGAATGCACCTGTCCACATACTTGGCGGGCATTTCCGGATCCCGTATCACATCAGCTTGTCAACTTTCGAATTGCCTTCTTGTTGTCTGGTGGTCCAGGACTTCTGATTGGATGGGGTCATCAATCGACTCTTCTACCAGGCTTTGAGCATGCATTTCGAGGCTCTTTAAACTGGCTGCAAGGGCTGCTAGGGTTCACGCTTTGTGAGGGGAAACGGGCTAGCATCTAAAAGGTGCATCATGAGCGCCGGCTCCTTCCTTAGCCACCCATCCCCGACCGAATACAACTAAACAGGATTTGGAGCTGGGGGAAATCTTGTTTGTGAGAGGGCTGAGAGGCTGAGAGGTCTAGCATTCCGGACGAATGTCTTTCCCGAGGGAAGGGAGTGGCCACATGCAGACCCGGGCAAAAGGAAACCTGCATGACGTCTGCCTCCACACTGGGATAGCTCGGCTTCTGCGTCAGGTTTCGCCTCATCCCAATCACCACCTGTGCGGGACTTGGTGGTGTAGACATCCGCGCGATCGCGTAATAGCACTAGCGGCTCTGGTAACTACCATGCTGCCCGAGTACATTACCCTGCCATCCCAAGTGCAAGGAAGCATGCAGGCACGGTAGAGCAACGCACGAACATGACCACGACCGGCGTGTCTAGCGGGCCTGCCTCCTGCTGGCGATGATCTTGGCGCACATTCACACGATTCTGCTGAAGCTGGGCAGATGTTAGGCCGCTGGTTCACGGTTTAGGAATTAGGGTTTAGGGTTTAGGGTTTAGCATTCAGGGTTTAGGGTTTAGGGTTCACAAGAAGCACAGAGAAGCGCGTCCAACTGGTGAAACTCAGGCCACCGCAGGGATCCAGAAATTCCTTCACCTCTAAGCAGCCACAAGTGTTGCTTGCCAGAGTCTTCCCAAGGAGTGCTACTTGCATCTACTTTGCCGCTCTTGCTCGATGGTCACGAACTTTCTTCGGCCTGCTCATGTTTCGACTACCATCCACGCCTCTGCAAACTCTTTGTGGTCAAGGCGATGATGAATCATCACCATCACGACTAACAACAACGAAAGCAGAAACATCATTTCGAGGACTGCATCAAACGTCAGCATTCGGCTGAGCCCTAGACCTCGAATGGAACTGCTGGACCAGGACAGAAAAACTGCTCGGATCGGCTGCCTGGCTGCTCACGACTTGAGCACTGGGGAGGCTGTTCCCAATTCCCCTTTATTTCGGAAGACACCCTTAATTCTTCTAATATTACGGCGTATTGGGCTTCGTGTGAAGAGAACAAATGGCAGCCTTCGACAATATGCTCAAAGACGTTCCCCTCGCGCTCGATACTTCGACGGTTCCAAGCTGTAGGGAGCCGTGAACTGAACTGACAGGCACCGTTTGAAACGAGAACCCGTTAGAACTGTCGCTCTACCTTATGTATTAAGTCTTACATCTTATATATTATGTATATTAAATTGTGTACTTTATGTCAAGATATGTCATATATAATACATTCTATCATATACATTACCTATTTTAAAATTTGTGCAAAAACTATGTATTATGTGATCTATGTCATATGCTATAAATCATATATGATAAACTAAAAACTGCATATTATGCGTTGCAAAATGAATAAGATGTGTTTGGATTAAATATATAAACTATCTATTATATGTGGTATAATATAAACTATATATTACACATTCTTATGTGTTGTTTGTTTGTATTCTTTGCATGTTATATCTTAAACTTTATAGGATGTATATCTATAAAAATATATACATACTGGTGCACTGTACATGATATATTGTGCGTCGTATGTTGTATAATACATGTTCAGAATTACACATTATATAGTGAGTTATACAATCTTCATGCTTAATAAATATGGATATGTATATATATATAGGTATTTATCTACTTCCTTATTTGTTTAATTTGTTGAATATATATATATATATATGTGTGTGTGTGTGTATGTATGTATATATATATATGTATGTATGTAGGAATACCATACTGTACAGTAAATTATGTGTACACTATGTTATCTATCTTCTTCTTTCATATATCACATATTGTATAACACATATTTCGTATTTTACATGTTGTGTCATACTTATCTCTATACCAAAACATAGTTGACACACTAAGTACTACAAATTTTGGCTCCTTTTGACATTATATATTATGACCGCAGCATCCTCCACCTCCTGCAACTCTACCGGCCGCCACAGGCCGGGGAGGACCAAGCAATCGGCCAAACTTTCGAAACTGGAACCTGAACCACGGATAGTTCTCACTAGTCGACCCTGGACCGGAACACACGAAACTGCACATTTTTCAGGAGGGAGCTGGCCTGCACTCAAAGTGCTAAGCAGAAGGTGCCATCTGCAGGAGAGGGCAAACATGGCAGGGGGACTGGGGCATCGAGCAACGCAGATGCCATCCAGCAGTGTCAGGCCCTGACGAAGCTGTCACAAAATGCCGAGGGGACTCAAAATGCAGCCAGACACTTCGCCTCCTCACCGTTGGGGGTGCACCAAAAGAGAAGCGGCTTGTCTCGGACAGCCTTGCCAGCAAAGTAGGTCTCGGTTCTGCGGTTCTGCGCGACAGACCAACAAAGCCTTTTGCAGCCCACCTCGTCAACACCACATATCTTTCCTGTCCAGTCGAATCCGTGGGTCCTTACGTCGGCAGATTGGAATGCATTCAGTGGAAGCTGAATCGTAAATCGGGCGAGCCAAATCGCAGGAGCTCTGGCAAACGACGATGACGACATCCGCTTGCCAGCGGGCTAGAGACACAGCAGGGAGAGAGCAAGCACGCAAGCACATCGAGCACCTAGCTTTCAAGTGCTTCGGACTATCATCACAGCCTTCGTCCCCAGGAGCACTTGGGATCCTGCAGCTTGGCGAGGTCGCCCTCTGACCGAGCTCGTCTGTAGAGGTACCTCGGTCAAGGCTAGTGGTTGTAGTCCAGCAGCAGTAGTAGCAGCAGGAGGTGTCAGTAGCTGTAGCAGTAGCAGGAGTGTGTAGTAGGACTGAATAGGAGTTGGAGTGGTAGTAGCAGCAGTAGTAGTAGCAGCAGTAGTGGCAGCAGGAGCAGTAGCAGTAGTAGCAGTAGCAGTGGCAGTGGAAGCAGCAGTAGCAGCAGCAGTCGCAATATGCACCCACATGGTGTACATGCTGAGGTGCCTGCCCCATGCCAGACATGAAGGCCACCAACAACACGATGCAAAATCGATCGGTGCACTTGCGCTTTGGCCTGCGCTTGTTCTCCGGAGGAGCAAAAGCCAAGAGTTTCAGCTACTTCGTGACTCCATCACGTGGTGGTGGTGGTGGATGCGCCGTCGCATCCGTATAGCTATACTGCAACTAGAATAAGGACCCCCCAAAATAGTATAGGTAATTGCTTAGGCTTCTATAGTAGCTACAGTAGCATGCCCGAGCTCACTCCAATGACTTTCCGCAGCCCGTCAACTTGAGCTCGCATGCTCAGCACGGGCCTGGGCGGGTAGCCTGGACCTGAGTGCGAGGCAAGCCTCATGATAAAATATCCTATCATGCAGTATCTCGAATATACTCGAAAATAGTAAACCCTAAACCCTAACTAAACCGTACCATATACTATGACTGTAGTATAGTCGCTCACGGGCCTAGCTCGGGACGCACCCTGGGGCCGGGGCTCAGCTTCGTCACAAGGTCGTCTCCAGAGGTCTCGCTGCCCTCCACAGGAGCACAGGGCGTGGGGTTCGGGGCTTAGGGTTTGGAATCTGCAGATGGGATAGGGCAGCGTCATAAAGCAGCATACAGCACACCATCACGAGACGCCGTATGGAATCTAGCTACAGAATAAGTTGGAGACAATTGGGGAAACAAAACACTTGTTGGCACAAGGCAAACTCTACCTGAGCTCTTGCCTGCCTCGAGCGTGCGCATGCCATCCTTCAGTCACGCTTGAAGCAGACACGTTGGACGTCTCTGCACTCCCCTCGAAACCTAAGGCTCGGAGGTTCCGCCAAACACAACTAGGAATGTGGGGCAGCATCCAGTCTTCCCCGGCTTGCTTCAAGCCTTGCTGCATCGGTGACATCCTGAAAACCACCATCTTCGGCACAACCTCTGAGTTGATGCTCTGTATATCTCTGTATCAGTATTGCGGGTTCACGGGCTCCTGCATGGCCCTGTGAAGCTGCCCGAAGTTACACCGAAAGCCTTGAGAAGCCGATGAGGGTCAGAGATGCTGAGAGCCGGGCCATGCCGGCCCCCGAAGAGAACTTGGTGACGAACATGATAGCAGTCCGCTCAAACTCTGCCAAAAGCCTGAAATGGCAAACACACTGGACTAGGTAGACTCATTGAGTATGTTTCACGACTGGACTAGGCTTGATTTAACCTCAAGGTCGGATCGTCTCTTGTCCTTGCTACTCTGCACTCGCGGTCAGGCCGTTGACCAGCTGCGTGGCTTAATTCAGCTTATGTTTACTTCATGGCTCTGTTACGACGATGGCGTTGCTCCTTGTCTACGCGGCATTGGCTCGAGCCGTTGTGCTGGCAGCACACCCCAACCCGCACAAGTCGCCGTACTGATTCACACCCCCAACATAAAACTCAGCGCCACTGCTTCGCAACGCCAATTCGCAACTGTAGCCTGCCGCCACCAACATGCTGGGTGCCCGAACGCGGTCCTTCCGGATATGCTCTGGCATAAGAGCGTTCCGAAACAACTACTTCGCGAAAACTGAAGGACTCCAGCCCGGCTTTGTGGGTATGCCCTAGACCCTAAACCCTAAACCCTAAACCCTAAACCCTAAACCCTCTACCCCTAGCAGCTTCCTTCTATGCCAGAGCACACGAGGAGCCCAAAACAGAGACCCATGGATCCAGAGCTGGGCAGGGTCATGTCATGTGGAGCTCACAGGTCCCTTTTTTTAGGGGGGTTCCTTAAATCCTTAAAGGGATCTACAAGGGTTTAGGGTTTAGGGTTTAGGATCTACAAGGGTTTCTGAAAGGGTACTACAAGGCTTCCATATGGGTAGTTCTCTAAATGAGGGTCCCGTTCCAGGCCCCTCCAAAATAGTGCGGCACCCTTATAAACAGGTCTGCGTTTTCGAACAGTCAGCTCCTACGTACACAGACAACGCCCAGCGCCGACATGGCAGAAAAGATCAGACGTAAAAAACTCAACCTCAAACCCCAATCCTTTTTCAGCACGGACCGAGGTGCCGGCCAATCCCGAAACCTTAAACCTTAAACCCTGAGCAAACTCTCCTTTATATAGCAGCCTTTTGTATGCTCTGCTCGAATCGGCGAAGTCCAAGTCCAGGTCAAGTTTTCTCTGGCACAATTCAGCACAACGATACGGTCTGCTTATGCGACACGTGATAGAACGGCCATGAATCCCATGTATAAGGACATGCTACGAAGTAGCGGCTACGTTGCGTATGATAGGGGAGTGAGCTTGAAGACTTCAGCGCACACTCTTTGCGTGCTGCTTGATACTCGCTATGAGGCAGTGAAAACACACAGTGACGTGAACGCAAAGTGCTGGAATGCATTCTACTATGCTCGCTCTACCCTGTGGGACGCTTTGGCAGGCAGCTTCCAACATCGAGAATAACACATGCAATATCATGCAGTAGTAGGATTGCCAAGCATACGCCATATGCACTACAATGGGCGATGCGACAATACAGCTTCGCCTGTCACAACAACAGAACTTGAAGCTCTTCAGTTTTTCGTGCTGTGTGTTCAGACTGTACACAGCACTTATGATATACCGGGGTCTCTGGCTTTAGAATACAACGGAATCTGATGCTCTAGCAGTACAGCAGAGCTGAGCAAACCTCACACCTGATGGTAGCCATATTGGAAACTGCGCTATCGTGTTGCACTTTGGCCGTGTGATGTGAGTGCAGCCGGATTAGTCCATCGTCACAGCTCCTGCATCTAAGATCATACAAGATAGTCACAGCCAGGTGCCCTATTGGCAGAGGCTCCGGAGAGCCAACGAGCAAAGAAGTCTGCAACCAAACGCGAAGCTCAGTCGGTGAACCAGTCCATTGGCACCTCGCTATGTCTTCGGCAAAAGCCAATCGTTCAGTCCCAAAAGAGCACCACGCTTGACATGAAGACTTGAAGACAGCGAGAGACGGGGAGGGAGAGGGCGAGAGGGAGAGAGAGTGAGAGTGAGA